ATGTTTGGATTATGGGGTATGTTTCTAGAATTAACACTATTTCTATTTAAGGTAATTTTACATCATTTCCTTTATTAGAAAAAATAACAGATCTGTGGATGGCATTTTGTGAAGGCTGCCTTCTATTAATAGTGTATAAAACAGTCATGTATCTCCAAAACGGTGGGTGAGTAATCACAAAGCAAGTGTAACTATTCATCCCAAAAGGGAGGACAGAACATGTGCCAATGTGTGCAGAGTCCTGAACTAGAGACTTGGATTCTAGTTCTGGTCCTGACACCTGGGTGTCTTTCAGAAAATCATTTTAAAGCTTTGCACTCCAATTTCCTCATGTATAAAATGACTGGAGCAGCTGACCTCATAGACAATCCTACTTAGGTAGCATCTATCAATGTATTGCCAGAAGACAGAATCATAATCATGCCCCCCAAAATTAGAGTATTTGAAGACAACCGCCAAAGTAAAAATTTTAAATTCTTTTTTTTTTTTTTAATTTTTATTTTTTTTGAGACTGAGTCTCACTCTGTCTCCCAGGCTGGAGTGCAGTGGCCAGATCTCAGCTCACTGCAAACTCCGCCTCCCGGGTTCATGCCATTCTCCTGCCTCAGCCTCCCAAGTAGCTGGGACTACAGGCGCCCGCCACCACACCTGGCTAATTTTTGCATTTTTAGTAGAGACGGGGTTTCACCGTGTTAGCTAGGATGGTCTCGATCTCCTGACCTCGTGATCCGCCCACCTCAGCCTCCCAAAGCGTTGGGATTACAGGCGTGAGCCACCGCACCCGGCCAAAAATTTTAAATTCTATATACATACACACACACACACACACACACACACACACACAAATACTAATACACTACATGCCAGATACTGGGGTGGTGGGCTGGGACCAAGGCATGAAGTAATAATGCATGTGCCAAAGGGCTGAACTTTTTAAAATGAGTACAAAAGTAAATTTTCAGAGTAGCAGCTGGTGGGTAGGAGGTATTGAGTCCACAGAACTGCTCTTAGATTGGAAGGGCATGGGAGAATGAAGTTCCATTATGTGATGGGGTTTTACACACACACACACACACACACACACACACACATGCACACACACATGAATGTGAGAAAGTCACTCAATTATAAGCATTCAAAAAGACAGACAGCTTTCTTGTCTTTGTGGCGTCAGTACCTAGCTCAGCTCATAGAAGCCACAGGAGGAACCTAATCAATGTTAGTTGATCATTTACTGATTTACCAATAACTAATTCATGACTGCTCTAGTGCTGTGGTCTGAATGTGTCCCCCAAAATTCATGTTGAAAGCCTAACCGCCAAGGTGACAGTATTAACAGCTGGGGCCTTTGGGAGGCTTTGCCCTCATTAATGGAATTAATGCCTCTATAAAAGAGGCCCTATAGAGCCCCCTCTACTCTTCTACTACATGAAGTTATAGTGAAAAGACAGCTAGCTGTCTATGAACAAGGGAAGAGGGCCCTCACTAAGATGTCAAATTTGTCGGTACCTTGATCTTGGTTGGGCTTCTCAGCCCCCAGAACCGTGAGAAATAAAACTTCCGTTGTTTATACGCCACCCTGTCTGTGGTGTTTTGTAATAGTAGCCAGAACAGACTAAGACATCTAGTAACGCATTCTCTGGTAAACACTAGGAATTCCTGGCCTTAAAGAGTTCATAGCTAATGAGAAAAGAAATAAACAATATAAAGGATAACATGCTGTAGTCCATTATATACAAAGTGCTTCCAGACCATTCAGAAAAACTGGATAGGAAGATTTCTAAGGTAATACTTATTGAGTGCCTGCGTGTTAGGCGTTTTACATACTTTAAGCCTCACAACTCTGGGGAAGTTTCACCAACCCATTTTACAGGTGACAAAACTGTGGCTTACCAAGATTAATAAGGTCAGAATTAAAAGTAGGGTCTAATTCCAAAGACATTACCACTATACATACCAATTTGTCTTGTTACTACATTTTATCCTTACATTTGGCAGTGAGGGGAAAACTCAAAACCAGTCAAAAAAACTTTTGTCCTGAACCAGCATAAAAAGAGCACCTAAGACTTCATCCAGTATTTTACTGAAAGATCACTTCTAAAAGTTTGTCTTCACCCCGATCTAAAAATTAGAAAACTAATTTTCTTTCAGCAGCTGCATAAGTACATAATGTAATGTTTCTACATTTAGACCTATACAATTATAGGTCTAAACAAAATATGTGTAACACGATTGGAGAACATTAGCAGTCATTTAAGAAAATGGACATTTGGAAACATCATTTTAAGAGCTTGGGATGAAAAACTTTGCTATGACCTATACATCTGGATCATTCCACTGACTGACACTGAGAGAAACAGTGTATTATCACAGTTTACACAGTAAATTTTTTTGGAGGGGAGTAGGAGGTGATTGAAATAGAAATGATATGAAGTTTAAGAAATACAACTGATTAGATGTCACATGTCAAAGACACTGTAGGTACCCAATAAATACTGTTAAATGGACTGGACAAGTGGGATGAGAACACTTTTTCCCCACACCTCTGACTAGTACGTGCCTTTCTTAGGAAGTTATTTTTTCAGCCATGAAAAAAAAAGGGCAGAATTTAGGACAGATAAAACACAAGTAGCTTATAAATCCTCTGAAAGGAAATCAAAACACAGTATTTTGTATCTCTGTATAAAGTTAAGCTCCTCAGGGACAGGGGCAATGTCCAGAGGATGGTGAGCATACTACTTAGCAAACTAATGCAGGTTAATAAATATTGACACAGTAAGACTTGCATAGTTTACATTCTAATTTTGTAAAGATTATGAGTTACCTCTTCATATTCTGTTCTTGTATTTCTCCTGTGTATATTATAAATACACAAACATTGCAAATTATTTCTTGAAGCTATTTCATTTTTGGTCAAGACTATTAGCGTTTCTTAAAAGGGTTTCTGGTCATCCTTAGGGTTTATCAGCCACATCATTAATATTGTATTCATTTCACTAAAAATGTGGTAAGTAGCTTAGATTTAAAAACAGGATCTAATTTCAAAGCTATTTCCACTATACATACCAAGATAAAACTTTCTTCTCTCTCCTAAATTCTAAATTTCACATGATTTACCCAATCACCTCTTAAGAGTACTTATTGGTCAGCAGTGTGAGACAAACACTTACCCCACTTGTCCAATGTATTCCACAAGATTGACTGGGTACCTTTGTGTCTCTGACAGGTAACTTCCGACAGTTGTATTTCTTAAACTTTAAGTTGTCTCCCAAAAAACTCTGTAATTTGCTGCTTCTCTCAATATTGCAGGCAGTGAAATGATCCAAAATTACGCGTCATATCCATATTCCTTCATGATTGAGGTTAACTATGCACTGCAAACCCCATATGCTATTACTTTATATTTTCAGCAGCACCCTAGCCTCTTAATAATCTCAAACAGATTTTGTACTGTTACTAATTTAGCACATCCATAAAAAGTCATTAAAAAAATTTAGACGCTAAATTCTCTTTCAAGGTTGCCAAGCTTCACCACTGTATTAAAATTATTTTTAAAATTTCACGGACTAAGGCATTTGGTACATTCAATTCCACCTTTACCAACAAAAGCCTTTATCACTAAGATGAGGAAAGCATCCTTTTCATTTTCTCCAGTGAAAAGGGGGAAAAAAAAAAAGGCCAACTGCTTGCATGCAGGTCTGCATATAACACAGCAGTCTCTGGCAAAGCCAGTAACTCACGTTCAACTTCAGAAATCCTGGTGGACGGCAACACATGAGTAATCTGTGCGCACAACCCTTGGGCTTGACATACCACTTCCTCCGCCCTCCCTTCCCATCAATCCACCCCCAAAACCCCAACCCACCAAGCACACGGCTAAATATGTCTTCCCCAAGAGAGCCAGAAACCTCGAAAACGCCGAGAAAGAGCTCCCCTTGGAAGGAAAGGGCCTGCCCTTCCCAGTCCGGGGCCCCGGCTGGCTCGACAAGCCTCTCTCCGAGGAGGCCCAAATCTCGACGCCTCGCACGTCCAGCCCCGCCCCGGGCCCGCTCGCGTCCCCTCGGGCGACAAAACCCTCCCGCCGGCGCTCAGCCAGGACTGACAGTTAAGACTGCAGCAGCCGCGGCCACCAGGGGCCTACTTCTGGCACCAGCCCCTCCGGACCACGCGCCCCCAAACACTCGCCTCGGCGGCGGGGGGCGGGGAAGCGGGGCGCCGACCTCGCCACCGCGGGCCCCGAAGGCCGGCCGAGTGACGGAGGGGAGCCAGCGCCGCCTGGCGCAGGCCGCGGCAACACTGACCTGTCGTCGCCCCCGCGCCTGGGCTGCGGCGGCCGCCTCACTGGTCGTCGTCGCCCTCGCCCGCCGCCTCCGCCCGCCACCGCCTCGTTCCCTTTCGCTGCCGCCACCGCCGGGGCTCATGCGGGACCCGCGCTTCCTTATCCGGAAAACGAGGCCGGGAAAGGGGGCGCCGGAGCCGCCGAAATTCCGGCGTTCGTCGCCAGCCGCCGCTGCCTGTCCACACCGGGGGCTGCGGGGCCCTCCTGCCAGGGGCTACAGGCCGCGAGCTATTCCGAGGAGGAGCCGAAGGAGGCGCCGCCGCCCGCAGCCGAGCGCGCCGGGTCGGCAGAGGTGAAGCGTAAGTAGGCGGCGGATGGCGGGCGCCCGGGCTGGCGGATGGCTACGCGGCGGAGGGGTGCGCGAGCGAGCGAAGCCTGGTGTGTCGGGTCCTGGCGAAGGGAAAAGGCCCTGTCGTCTCCTGTAGTCACCCCGAGCCCAGCGCCACCATCTTGGGAGAAACACGGATCTCGCGGCCGCGGCGCAAGACGGGAGGACTGGCTGGGCGGGCCGAGTATCCCGGCAGGCAGCGCGCGCCGCCCGGCCGGGCGAGGGCTCCAGGCCGGGACGCGGGGACGTGGGGCGGGGCCAAGACGCGCGGGAGGGCGCCGCGCTCCGCCCCTCCTTCCCTCGCCGGCTCCGCCTCCCCCCCCGCTTGCCGTCGCCGCCGGCGCACGGGTCGTTGGGAAGAGGAGGTGGCCCGCGGCCCCTCGGAGTCCCACCAGGGTCGGTCGCCATCTTGCGACTGGACAGAAAGGATAATCCCTCCTTTTAGTTTGTGCTGTCTGTGACCCGAAAGAATAAACCTGGTACATCCGGAAGCCCTCTGGGCACCCCCCAGGAGGGTTGCAGAGCCCCTTGGTGTACCCAGCCGAGGAATGCCTCCGACTGTGTAGGGAGACGAATGGCTCCGAAAGTCAGCTGAAACCGCAGGAATAGTCCCCAGCCCCGAGGCGGGGCAGGTGCCTGGCGTTATTAACTTTTCCACCCCAACCCTTTTCTATCTGGAGCTGTCTTTATAGGTGTTGCAGGGGTGCCCCGAGAGTGCAGGCCAGATTTTAGAGGACCAAGGTCATCTGCTTAGGCCTCTTGCCAACACGGGATGTGTCAACTAGTTTACCGGAGACGAAGGTAAAGTCCCGTCTCCTGCAGTTGTTGACGTGCAGTAGGTTGTCGGTTAAGAAAAGTGGCTCCCTGGTTGACCCCAGCTGGGATAGAGGCTAATTTTGATCCCTATGACAGCTGAACCTAGTTCAAGCCATTAAAATTAAAATTAAATCCATTTAAAATCATATTTAGTACCAGGATCACCATTTTATTTTAAAAGGGGTGTGTGTATGTATGTGTATATGTAGCTTTACAACACTTGCTAGCAAAGCCAAAACAGTATCATTAACAATTCACAGTGTTACGACTAGCAACTTTGTTGATAAGCCCTTGAAGTAGCATATGAGTCGCCATGTCTAGTATTCAGATTTTTTATATCAACAGTCATACATAGCAGTGTATCTTTTTTTAATTTATTTTTGTTTTTAAACTTGGAGATGGAGTCTTGCTATGTCAAGCTCCTGGCCTCAAGTGATCCTCCCACCTCAGCCTCCCAAAATTCTGGGACTATAGGCATGAGCCACAGTGCTCGGCCAACACTGTATTTTTTAACTGTCAGTCTCAGAAAATCTTTGTTATAGTGTGGGTGTGTGTGTATCCCGCCTCACAACTATAATCAACTATCGAAAAAACAACAATAAGCTAGAAGAATTTAAGTTATTCTAGGACAACTGACGATAAATGATAGTATTCAGCCATATTCTAAGATGTTTTAACTCAGCTCATTATTCACTTTTCATTTCCTCTCAGTACACATCCACATTTGTAAACTATTTGCTGTTAGATTTCATGGAAAGGACTGGTAAGAAACATAATCTTAATCCCAGATTTGGGAGGCCGAGGCAGGCAGATCACGAGGTCAGGAGATCGAGACCATCCTGGCTAACACGGTGAAACCCCATCTCTTACTAAAAATACAAAAAGATTAGCCGGGGATGGTGGCAGCGCCTGTAGTCCCAGCTACTCGGGAGGCTGAGGCAGGAGAATGACGTGAACGCAGGAGGCGGAGCTTGCAGTGAGCCCAGATCCCACCACTGCACACCAGCCTGAGCGACAGCAAGACTCCGTCCCAAAAAAAAAAAAAAAAAAAATCATAATCTTTATAAAAATTAATCTTTGCAAGTTTTCAAAATAGGCAACAAAGAATGCAAATCTTTAAGGACTTTATTGTTAGACTAATTAAAGCATACCATTTCTACTATATCTAGCGTATGGAGATACTTTTAGGTATTCTTCCTTTTAAGTAGAAATTGTCAATAAATGAGGTGTAATTTTATAATGGCCTGGTGTATCAAAGTGTGGCAGAAATCCTTGAGTTCCAAAAAGATTAAAGACCGAAAGGAAATAAGTCTGCTTTTAGCTAGATGTCAGAATGACTATTCATTGCTTTACTGGGATCAAGGAGGGTCTTAATTCTTCCTAGGAATCTGGAGAAATTACCTATATCCCTTTTAGTTCATTAATTTTAAATATGTATTCTTATGTGTGACATTAGTATTAGACTTCTTTCCAGACTTCACTGTGCTTTTTGCTTTATCCATTTTCAAATTTAGAAATGTTTGCTGATCAAACTTACCAACATAAATATTTTCAGGAATCCTTAAGATACTAGTAGTGTTCCACTTCCCTGTATATCTGTTTATATGGAAAAAAAAATTCTCCCATGTCAGACCCATTTTTTTTTTTCCAGGTGTGTTTTTCCCAGAAAAACAACTTTGTATCTACTAAGTGAACAGTGATTTCTTCAGACTTTTCTTGTCAAAATGAGACCCAGTGGTTTCTAATAATTTTCTCATTTCAAGTGTACAGTAAAAAGAACAATTTAATTTTATAAACATCTGCATCCAATGCCTTGAGCAAACTTTGAGCTAATGTTTACCCAGAACTATTTGTATGTCATACGTTGGACTACTTGAACTACTATTTATGTTCCAGACCTTGGGAAACAATAAAAGATGAACAGTCTCTATCCCTGCCCTCAAGAACTTGCAGTTCAAGAGGAAGTCACACCTGTAAGATTGGACGCTTTTTCAGAGTAACCCAACACTTCATTGATCATGGGGGTTACCTACTAATATGTATCTGCTAATACTAACAAACATTTTATTTTATTATTATTTTTTTGAGATGGAGTCTCGCTCTGTCGCCCACGCTGGAGTGCAGTGGTGCAATCTCGGCTCATTGCAAGCTCCGCCTCCCGGGTTCATGCCATTCTCCTGCCTCAGCCTCCCTAGTAGCTGGGACTACAAGCACCCACCACCAGCCTAGGCTAATTTTTTGTATTTTTAGTAGAGATGGGGTTTCACCGTGTTAGCCGGAATGGTCTCGATCTCCTGACCTCGTGATCCGCCTGCCTCAGCCTCCCAAAGTGCTGGGATTATAGGTGTGAGCCACTGCATTGGGCCAACAAACTTTTTTTTCAAAGGAAACATTTTGCCCTGAATTGCTGGTGAAGTTGTTTTTTGACAGAGCTGTTTTATTGCCGAAGATTTCTTATTGATGCCAGTCATAGCAGATGAATCAAAATGCAAAAACAACTTTTTTTACTGCTCAGCATGCCCCAGGATCAGAAGTAAGTCAAGAGCGTGGAAGAGACAAAATTCAGATATGCTGGGATAGAAGTCACTGTTGCTATTTTTAGGCCGCATCCGAATATTACACACTCAACCTTTGGAAAACGCTAAGCTTTCAATATATGAATAGCTTCCATTATTTAAGAAATACTGTTAAGCAAGCTTAGCTCCATGAAGAACACTCTTCTGGCATATAAAGTGCTCAATAAATGTTAGTGCTTAGTAGTGGTGGTGGTGGTGGTGGTTGTGGTGTGTGTATCATTGTTTAGTATTGCACACAGCAGGCATGAACTCCTACATACCCCCCCACCCTTATCCCTACAGACCTGTCTAAATTTGCATTCTTTCTGACCTCGAGTCTTAAGGTAGAAGCCATCCTTCTGTCCTTTCTACAGGTAATTTTTATTTCTTGAGGGAAGGGAAATTAACTCAAGACTCTTACTCCCTTAATCATTCCCTCTCCTGTTCATAAATTCTCCCTCTACTTTGTTCCTTCTATTTAGAAAAACTGTCTATACTTGGATTGCTATTACCTTCCAAATTCCTCTTCAGCTACAGAAATTTAGCAACTCCCTCCATTTTACTGTATACATTGCTTGTGTCAATTTCACTATGGCCTAAGGCCAAATTGAGAGGTTGCTTCTCAATTTTCACAACATCTGACCTCTCTGCAGCCTTCCACACTGCTAACCACTGCCTCCTGGAAACTGCTCCCTTGGTTCTGTCACCTTACATTCTCTGCTCTTCTGCCGTGTCTTCGGCCGCGCTTCCTCAGGTCTCCTGTGCAGAATCTTCCCTCCCCATCCTTGGTTCTCTTTGCTACCATGTTATAATCTTTGAACAGTACCTTTTACATACACTCTTCTGTCACTTATTTTGGTCAGGAATCAAGCCTGAGTCTTGAACACAGACCTCAGTCAGAAGCACCAGACACAGAATCTTCAACACCTTACTGGAAACCTGTACTGGGTGTTCTACAGGCACCTCAAGCTCAACTTGTTTAACATCAAACCCCTGAGTTTGTTCTCTTTTCCACCATGGACTGAGATGTGATAACAGTGCAAAGGAGCAGGTTTTGGGAGAACAAGCAGGAATTTAGTTTTGGTAATGTTAAATTTGAGATACCTGTTGGATATCTGTTGTACAAACTGCTTGCTAGCTGACTCTTATGCATTCTTCTGTTCATTCATGATAATAGAACATCTAGCCAGACACATGGTTGCCTATAATACACCCTAAGTGTGGCCATATCTCTTAAGTTCTGGCCAGTAGGATGTGAGAAGAAATGATGTATGCAACTTCTAGATCATTTTCTGAAAGGAATTGGGTGTCTCTTGCCCTTTTGTCCTTTTCTGATGAATGTATGTATGAAATAGTTGGGGTAGTAAACTATGTTGAAAGATGCTGTGGTTTGAATGATGGTGTCCCCTTCAAAATTCATGTTGAAACTTAATCCCCATTGTGATGATATTAGCAGCTGATTAGATCATGAGGGCCCTGCCTCATGGATAGATTAGTACCCTTGTGAAAGGACTGGAGGGAACTAGCTTAGACCTTCTTTTGCCCTTCCATCCCTTTAGCCACACGAGGACACAGCATTCATCCCCTCCAGAGGATATAGCAATAAGGTCCCACCTTGGAAACAGCAGCTCTCACCAGACACTGAACCTGCTGGGGGTCTTATCTTGTACTTCCCAGCCTTTAGAACTGTGAAAAAGTATATTTCTGTTCTTTACAAATTTCCCAGTCTCAGGTATTTTGTTATAGCAGCATAAACAGACTAAGACACTGGGAAACATTCTAGGGATTGCAGAGCAACAAGGTGGGGCCCTGAGGACTTCATTGAGCAAGTCCTGTGAACCAGGTCAACTCTGATGCAAGACAACTAACTTCTGTGATCTCCCATGGTTATTCTAAATCCCTTTAACTGCAGCTGACCTTGTGTCTCAGTATCCAAGCAAAGATATCAGGAGGCAGTTGCATGTGGAAGTCGAGTTAGAGAAGAATGAAACCAACTCATCCTACATTCTTTGACTTGATTGGTGACTCTACCATCTATGGCGGTCCCCAATAATAATAATGGTAGTAATCCTAGATTTCTTCCTCTCCCTCACTCTCCTGGCAATTAAGAGGCAAAGTTGTATCTCTCCAAAGAATAGGCCTTAGAATTAGTGAAGCAAAGTGGCTGACAGCACAGGCTCCCAACTTACAAGTGCAGAGATTCCAGGCAAGATTGTAAACCCCTTTCTGATTTAGTTTCCTCATCTATAAAATGGAGTTGTAGGGATTAAGTGTTAATATACATAAAGCTCTTACAATAATGCTGGGCACATAGTACAACTCAACAAAGGCAGGCTACCCCCGGCCCCCACCGCCCCCCCGCCGCCCTGCCATGCAAATCCCAGTTCTTCTAGTTACCAGATATCCAACCTTGAGTACCTCAATTGATACCTGTTTCCTCTTTGGGAAAGTGGGAAAAAATAATAGTACCATCCTCATAGGACCATTATAATCCTTCATTCATCCATTCATATTTATTGAATGGATATGTGCCGGCACTGTTCTCAGTGCTGAGAATACAGCAATGAACAAAAACAGTCTACCCTCATGGAGTTTGTGATCCATGGAGGAAGAAAACCAACACATATGTGTTATGTCAGAATATGATACGTTAAGGAGAAATATAAAGCAAGGCAGAGGGAATAGGGAATGCTACAGGAGTTCTGTCGTGCCGAGTGGCCAGAGAAGGTCTTATTGAAAAGAATTCATTTAATCAGAGGCTTGACAGAAGTGAGGAATGAACTGTGGGAATATAAAGGGAAGAACCTTCTAGATAGAGAGGGCCCTGAAGCAGAAAGGTGCCTAGAGTCATCTAGGAACAGCTAGCAAGGCACTGTGGCTAGAGAGAGAAACGAGGAGTTGAAGGTGAGCTCAGAGAAGTCACAGCGGGTCACAGCCTGGAGGACTTTGTAGCTTTTCCTAAGAACTTAGGTATTTGTGCTGAAGGAGGTGGGAAGCCTCTGGAAGGGTTTGAGAGAGTTATGATAAGAGCTATAGAAAAACTCTAGCTACTGTGTGGAGAAGGGACAAAGATAGTGCATATGAAGTGTTTAGTGCCTGACACATGGGAAGTGTTCAGTAAATGGTAATAATATTATCATCATCATTATCATAACATCCATTTCCTTCTATTTCCGCTGCTACTACCTTAATTTAGACCCTTAGTGTTTAGACCCGTAGTGTTTCTGCACTAGACTGTTAAGTTCCAGAAGGGTAAGATCATATTACCTAATTCACTATTTTAACCCCAACATTCATAGAGTGCTGGTTCATATTATACTACTTTCCTGCCAAGTGTCCTCATCACAGTATGTTTTCTTAAGAAACATGTATTATCACCTTGCTGCCTTTCTTAACTCTATCAGTGGCTCACCATGGCCTTCTGAATAATGTCTAAACTCCAAATACAGGGCCCATTGAATGTGGTCCCTGCCTCCATTCCAGCCCCATCTCCCACTTCCCACATGAATATATTGCTTAGGCAGTATGACTTACACTTGAGAGACATTTGGAGCTCTTTTGCATGCAGTTTATTCTACCTTTTAGATAAGTTCAAGCTCCTCCTCTGAGAAGCCTTTCAGATCTTCTCAAGCAGGGTCATTGCTTATGCCTCTGTGTGCCTTCTACACACTCGATGTATGTGCTTGGCACTTCTGTCTTCCCTTAAGCTCCTTGAGAGAGGAGAGCACCCTTGACTTCTTGTGTCCTCAGTATCTATCTCAACGGCTAAAACCTGGTAACTCCTCAAAAAAGGTTTGAATGAGTGAATCAGGCTTTATGAGCGTAAAAGTTAAGAACTGAGACCAGCATATCTAATAGAGGACCCCTTTACTGAGCTAACATGTAATAAAGTAGTGTATCTTTGAATGTTTCATTTTTCAGTTATGTCAAGTAGAGATACAAGCTGCAGTGGTGCCTGCTTATACAATTCAGTTGGAACAGAAAAATCAGGCAAATGAAATAAATGTAAGAAATCTTAACTTCTTGTCACTTCCAATAAATACGCAACAATAAAGTATTTTAATTAGAACCTTGGTATATGAAGTATAAAATCAAGGTATTGAACAAGATGATCTATGAAGTCCTTCTAAAGCTATGACTTTTTCAACCGCCAATTTCACTAATTGCCTCTATAGGCAAGACTACACAAGAAGTTACTGGAGCAAAAACCTGGAAGTCTATCAAATCATGCTTTGACCTTGGTCATCCCAATCTTTTTGTGCCTGTCTTAACCCAGCTGGAGAGTAGGTGGAAAAGGGAAGCATTTCATTGAACACCAGCTGCTGCTGCTGCTAATCTGAGCTGTTCTGAATAAAACAGTTCCACTTGAATCAATGAAGCAGCCCTTA